AGATAGATAGATATATATATATATATATATTCAGAAGAACCTGATTGGCTTGTAGTGTTGTGTCTCTTTCTCCCAATCTGAGTACTGCTATGCAGGGGATTACAGCAGACTGATATCAGGTACTTACCCTAGTTGCATTTAAAAAAAGTGTAAAGATGTTTTCAGTAACTGCATTCAGTTGTATCCCTTCTATCTGCCTGGAGTTCATATTTAAAGCGGAAGCAAACAGCTTTGATTTTTTTTTTTTTGTGCCATAATGTGCAAGTGCGCCGCCACCATCTTCACCGCTCACACTTCCGGGTTCTCAGAAGTTCTCCCCAGTTCAGCCATTAAGTGGCCACAGTTGATGCAACTCCTGCTCACAGTACAGTAGTTAGAACCTCCACGGCATCCAGCCGATTCATGGCATCTTAGAGATGCTGCAAATGGGCTGAGTATGATTGAAGGTGAATAATGCAGCAAAACCTGGATGTTTAATATTATGTTTTAATGGGGCTATTTCTTCTTCCTGTTATTTTTCACTAACGTATTGCTTTGAAACTCACTCCCATGTGCCATCTTGTAAGTGCCACAATCAGTGTATCATATCCATACACAAATGTGCAGGTACAAGGTGAGAATTTGCCTGCATCATGTACAGAGTACCAGGTGAGAATTTGCATTATATACACACTTCTCATTGATTTTGACTTACTATGTAACATTAGTACCAGGTAAAGTTTCACTGACTTGCGTCTGAGCACTGCAAACATTTCTCATTGTTTTTAACTTGCTATGCAATATTAATATCCAGTAAGCATCTACTGACAACACCAGCAATTAATTTAAAAACTATCAAAGAACCTGGTACACAGGAAACAAAGGACTTCCTTTTATTATTAACTAATTTATATACTCATTATTAGTGTGAGTCACAAACTGTGGCTTCCCATTTGCCTTTTACCTTTGTACTATTCAAATTAAAGCCCAAATGAATAAGTTACAAGCCAGCGACATTTGAGATCTTTTATTGTATAATTGAGAATGATCCACTGTGCAACTGAACAATAAAGGTTAGAGAGAAAGTTTAGGTGAACGACTGTGGAATTCTGGATATTTAACTAATGCTATGCTTGTAGAACATTTCTGAGACAATTTAGTTCTGGGTATTCAAACAAGTGTTTGCTTATGAAACAACAATGGGGCACTATTCCATTTATAGTCTGGTTCACTGTTCATTGCTCAGCACGTACGCACTAGTGTTGATTTACTAAAGGAGTTGAGATTGTTCACTTGGCAAACTGAATGTTCACTGCAATTAGTATATGAGGTGAAGATGCATTCAAGTTTTTTTTTTTTTTTTCCTTTGCAAATTATTGGGTATTCAAAGCAAACACAGCATCTCCGTATTTCATAAACTCAGTGAACATTTTACACTGCAGTTCAGAAAAGAGGATTGTCCCAGGATGTAGGATAGATGCATCCAGGGACAATAATTTATCCCAATCCGCATGTAATCGTACTGTGTACGTTTACATGTATACTTCCGCTGACAGATGCAGGCACTGTCACCCTGTCATTAACTTGAACGTGCACAGTGGCTGTATCTGGGATTGATGAGGCAAGAATCTGCAGATTCTTGATGCAGGAATCCCAGAACGCCCCGTGCGAATGCAGTCTTACTTAGCAGCGTTCAGCTGTCAAATACCTGTATTCCAAAGGGTAGGAATGGTTTCAGGATAAAGTCTGGAAATGTATAAGTAATTGACTGTTTCCCAGGTATAAAAGCTATCTTTTCACAGCATTTTTATCACAATCAGTGGGAATATGCTTGGAGTATTGTACCCGCTATGGAGTTATATACTGTATGGTCCATGGTGAAGACAGCTAGCCACCATTATGTGTTCTACCGGTGTAACTACATTAATAAGAATATCCACTAAGGTTACAGCAGCTGCCTGTGTGCCAGTCCAGAGCCAAGCAGTGATCTCTTCTCTACCACAGTATGCCTTAATGCCAACAGCACATATAGCCTATCCCAGGAGTAGGCGACCTTGGTACCCCAGCTGATGTGGAACTACAAGGCACATGAGGCTTTGCCAACTCTGACAGCCACAGGCATGACTCCGGGCAGAGGCATGATGGGATTTGTATTTTCAGCACAGCTGGAACGCCAAGATTGCCTATCCTGTGCTTACACATTTTATCTTGCTTGCTACCTAAATGATGCACATATCTGCACTCCCAATTCTGAGGAATCAGTGTGAGTGCAGTGTGGATGCAAGCAAGTCGCTAAAGATTAAGAAAATCAGCATCAGCAAGGTTTGCAAGAATGAGGCACATGGAAAACTATGAAACATAAAATGAAGTAGGCTGCCATTGCTGACCTATTTAAAAAAATGCTAGTTGCCTGGGTGTAATGTTGATCCCCAGGCTTCAATACTTTGAGTCACATATCTGGAACACATATGCAGGTAGTGAAGTGAGAGCCCCGGACCTGTATAAGGGCTCATGCAGTTGGGTGTTCTCCTGCGTTTGACATACACCAACAGATTTGACCTGCTTTGCTTTGTGTTTCTTTGGACACAGCAGGTCCTATTAAGATGCATTTCCCTTCCAGGCAAAGTGCAGCCCTTTTGCTCCATTCACGTTTGAATGCACACGTTTCAGCAGCCTGAATTTAAAACGAAAAAGCTACTTTTGACAAAATCACCTTTCTACTCAAACCCTGATAGCTCTGGGGAACTGACTTAAAGTACTGAATCTAGGGGATCAGAATGACAGCTGAACAAGCAAGAGGTGTCAATAAAGGCACTCAACGTATTTTCCTTTAACTAAAACAAAAAGCTTAATGTCATCTTACAGCTAATTGAAATTGAACAGCCAGTTTTGAAGTCCTAGTTCATAAAATGAAATATAATCAGCTATGATAGACAGGGAGCGAACAAGCTTGACCATTGGCCACAAGTGGTTATAGATCACTTCTGCTATTTTAATATGGGATAAGAGTAACCTCTCATTACAATGCCTCACCTGGAATTCTACTATACCTGTATGTTTATATTTCATTTTAGTGCATTGATGGGGTGATAACAATTGATCCTACCCACCCAGAATGGTTGCCATTTACTGTGCTTTTAGGAATGAATGGTTAAGTGAAATGTCTACTGAATGTGCTGCAGTGCGTCAGCTAAGAGGGCTGTAAACAAGCAAAAACAGCAATATTTTAAAGAGCAGAGCAGACAGAAAGTAAATGATTAAAAATGACTTTATGTGATAACCACTCAAAGAATATTTGTATCTTTATATCTACTCACCAGTAACGCAGATGGATTCCATCATGTTTCCTTATCTAGACCAGGTTCTTGATAATTGCTGTATTATGATACCTCTGCTAAGGATGTCTATCGTTACTAAGAGCTTTGACAGAGGGCCAACATTTTACTAAATGCTGTCAGTTGATCGATGGGTTTGGTGCATTGCATGAAAATTTCTGGTATATTTCCAAAGGCATAGACAGATGGAGAGCCTGACTCTGCTCTGACATTCAGCCTGTGGCTATTGTTCCTCTCCCATTGACAACAGTAGCAGCTTCATGCCAGAGTGGTTTGGAGCTCTACCTTGGTCTCCATGGCAACAGCTCGCTGAGCTGCACGTCACACACCAAATGAATAGGAATCCATTCTTGGAGTGAACTTTTAGAAGCAGTGTGTGCTAGCAGAGTTCACACACCACATAGTGCCGTGCCGAAAAAGACTCTTACCCAACTAGTAGGCAAAAGGGGCATTTAAAGGCAAAGCAAATGCAGATGCACCCTGATACAATAGTATAGCAATGCCAATGTACATGCAAACTGAGCTACAGCTATACAGTATAAGCTCCATGTCAGCCCTCCTGTCACTGGCAGTACAGGATCAATAAACAGAACACTCATCTGCTAGTACAGTATTGCTCCTTTGCTGATCAAAATGCTGCGGAATCTTGCTGGTCAGTGAGTATTAGCAGTAGCGTTGGTATGGCCAGCGAGGAAACCATAGAAGCAGGTGAGAGATTGGCTTACTCTCCTAGAGATCCTTACACTGGTGGAAACTCGCTAGTGTTACAGGAACCTAAGACGTAATTAAAAATAGAAAAACATTTTAAAGCGCAACTCCTGCCAAAAAACAAAAATACACATATGTTAATAGTTAGCCCGACCAAAAGGATTTGTCATTCTGTGCAGCCCATCTTGTGATTTACACACCTCTCCCACTCTGCACAGCCAGATAGGTGACACATGCATTTGCTGCTTGTGCAACTTCCTATGTCATCAGTCTGTCTCCAGCTTGTTTATTGGACAAAAATTAAGAAGTAGGGATGTCGCTAGTGTCGGACACTCTGCCCCACATCTCTAGAACCCAGCCCCAGACCACCAATATAAACGGGACACTGAGAACTGACCACCAATGTAAGAGGGACATTTAGAACTGACCACCAATGTAAGGGGGCACTCAACACTCAGTACCAATGTAAGGGGGCACACTAAGCACCAGTCTAAGGAAGCATGCTGACTACCAAATAGGGGAGCACACTGACTGCAGACATTAGGGAATAATTTCAATACTTGTGAGCTGTGCTGTGCAGTTACGTAGTCCTGCAGCCTGTATTCTGACTGCTGCAATGTATACTCTGCATAGTCCTGACCACAGCCGTCTATATGATATTTTGTGCATCACATAGTCCTAATCTCTCACTCAGCATGCATTATTGTAAGGTACAAACATAGTCCTAACTGCTATACTTTATACATTAGATAGTCCTGACCCAGAGACCACCTATCCTTAGGACAGAAAGTAAGTGCACGCTGTCAATGTGGACACAGACAACAACAAAACTTGCAATGTTCGATCCCTTCCTCGCTTTGTTCAAAACAAAAGAAGAATATACTTGTAGTGGGGAGCCATGGCCTACATTCTGTAAGGTGACCCACTCGCTTGTATTAGCTGCTAAGGGGATTTCTCAGTTACCTATGGAGAATAATGTTGTAAATAAGATTTTAATAAAGTTTCAGGGGGGAATTTATCATAGCAATTGAGAGTGTTTGAACTTGCACGGAATATATTTGATGCACTTTGCACCAGATTTATGATGCTAGTGTAATGTTGTTCATAAATGAGGTTTAATAGACTCCAGGAAAGAAGACTCATAACTCCATGCAAAAAGCTTAACTGTCGCATCTTGAAGAAGTGGTCATGGGGACTTCTTAAGTTGCAATTTTTTTCTTAGTTGATGCTCCAGTTTCAGACAGCCCCAGAACAAGTGCAGATGAAGACAGGTGCAAAAAAACGTGCAATTGAAAAAGTAGTGCAAGCTCTGGTCAAAACAAGTGCAAAACACGTGCAGTTGGAAAAGTAGTGCAAGCTCTGAAGAAAACAGGTGCAAAACACGTGCAGTTGGAAAAGTAGTGCAAGATCAGGTGAAAATAGGGGCACATGTTAAAAGACAGATTTGCACATTTAAAAAAATGACTGTCGCAATTGCTTTGATAAATTTCCCCCTCAGTGTTTAACATTTTCACTCTGGGCCAGAGCTGAATTCCCAGCTGTTGTGCAGGGGATAGTAGTAATTTATACAAAGAAGGATTACAGACTTATTATTAAAATATTAGATTTAGGACAGGTATATTCTGGTATATGGGTTGATTATGGTTTGGTTTTTTTAATGAAGACATTCCACTTTGTAATATAGCCTATTTCAGCATCATTTTAGAAGTGCAGAATTATAACACTGCCACTAAACATTACACTGATTCTTTTTGGAACCAGAAAAGGCAAACATAGGTTGCCAAGAAACTTATTTGTATTGTCTAGTATGTATGCACTGACCTCTTTATTGCTAGGGAGCAGGTACAATAAACATTATTTGGTAAGAATTACATGGTAAATAATTAGGCCATAAAACAGCTTTCTGATCAAAGTTCAGAGATGTCATACCAACAAATACACAATAGTTGAGTTGGTTTTCACCAGACGATAAATAGGCATTTGCTATGTCTTGTATTAATGGGACTTTGAGTGTAATTATTGTATCGGCAGCAGTTTATTTCTGTGCTTTGCACAAGTGACAATGCACAAGATCCCACTTGTTTGTATCATCTTATATCATTTTTGCTTCTTGATTTAAACAATATCTTTAAAAAAAAAGCAGATTACGCAATGAGTCCTACAGTAATTGTATATAGTGAGCAGCACTCACTGCAATTCTCACCTCCTTTCCAGCGCCGTCCCCCACAGAAAGCCATCTCTCGAGTCCAGTACTGCTTGTCTTCTGGTTTAAATAACACTAGGCATCACCATGCTGGCTTTGGGTTCAATGAGAGCAGCACCAAGTCATCAGGTGGAGCCGCTCTCTACAGCATTTTGGATTGGCCCACCCCCAGAGAAAGAAGAGAAGGAAGAGGACCAATGAGACCGCACTAAAAGGTTTCTAAAAAAAAAAAGAGGGGGTGCACAAGGAGAGGGGGATACAAGCTGGAGTTCCACTTTACGCCACATATTGCATCATGCTCACTTCAGCTTAAAAGCCCATGTACACCTATTCCTGCTTCTTTTATGTGCGTGGTGACATGTGTTGACATACCTGACCAATTTTATGCCATAACATGTTGCACTTGTATTCAGATGTATTTATGGTGGTGCATTAAAGGGTCACGTGCTTTGTTTACTTAATTGTTGCTCATTTGGCCCATTAGAAAATAATGGGATGACCTTTAAAACACGTATACAACACTTGTTACCAGTGTGCATCATTACAACACACGTGCTTAGGTGTACAGCCAGCTTTTATTTTCATTTTAAACTTGCTCATTAAATTAAGCTAAACTAATTACAGCACAAGTGCATAAGGGCTGGTTCACACCAGATGCATTGGATCTGTGCTGGAAAAAGCTGTCCCAGCACATAGACAGGGCCCAAAGAATTGTTTTTAATGTGGTCAGTTCACAAAATGCTGTTGGGGTAGTGTGCCACAAGGTAAACCAACGCATTGCAACGCCACTGATGAATAGAATTCATCAGTGCAGTGCACTTAGGTTGGCACATCAGCACTGTTTCTCCCAGCTCACACCAACAGCTGTGCCTTCAGAGTGGCTAACTGGTGTGAATATGCGGTACAACAAAAAATACTTTAAATACTAAAGTAAATACTTAAATAAATATTATCATGGCTGCTGTACTCCCAACAATGATAATCTGCTCCTTCAGGTCCCAGCCCACTTTCCTATCTTTCAGCTTTAGGTGTACAGTGTAAATCATCTACCTCAAACATCGCAGCCTGCTGATCTATCTCATATGTGTCTGATATCAGAACTATCTGTGTTTCCCCACAACAGTTACTCAAAGTATATGTATAGCCAAAACCTTTTTCAGTTGTAGATAAAGTGGAGTTGTAGATCCAATGTTCTTAGACTATTAATTTCTCTTCTGATCCAATATTCTTACGCTATTATTTTCTTTTGGGCTCACTACTGCAGAGCCTACCTGAGAGCCCACACAGCCCACTTGAGACCCCCTGCAGCTCACCTGAGACCCCACGCAGCCCAGTGCCCACCCGAGACCAAATGCAGCCCACCCAAGACCCCACGCAGCCCACTTGAGATCCTGCAGAGCACATTTGAGACCCAACACAGCCCACTTGAGACCCCACACTTACCATAGACCCCGCACATCCCACCTGACACCCTGCAGAGTCTACTTGAGACCCCGCACAGTCCACCAGACACCCTGTAGAGCCCACTTGAGAACCCGCACATACCATAGAACCCACACAGCCCACCCGACACCCTGCAGAGCCCACCTGAGAACCTGCACATACCATAGACCCCGCATAGCCCACCTGACACCTTGCACATCCTACTCTCTATGGTGGGCTTTGCAGGGTCTCAAGTGGGCTGTTCACACCCCTGCACACCTCTTACCTGTCAGCCCTGATCTGCTGTCAGCCTCCTCCACCGTTGCCGCTGGGCCCGGTGTTCTATCATTTCATCGGACCCGTGATTTCATCGGACTGCCGTCCATCCGTGCAAGGGCAGTGAGGCACCAGGTCCGTAATTGTTACATCTGTAAATCTCACAGACCAATAGATGGTACCTGACCTCACATATGCGCTTCTGGAAGAATGGTCAAACATTCCCATAGACACACTCCTAAACCATGTGGACATCCTTCCCAGAAGAGTTGAAGCTGTTATAGCAGCAAAGGGTGGGCCTACTTAATATTGAACCCTACGGACTATGACTGGGATGCCATTAAAGTTCATGTGCGTGTAAAGGCAGGTGTCTCAATACTTTTGGGAATATAGTGTATGTCAGAAGTGACTGAAACATGCGTCGTAGTCCGTCAAAGTTCTGAATAGAACCTCGCTGCTAAACTCTGTTGGTCTGTGACATTTACAGACATGGCGCGATTGCGCAAGCGCAGACGCCGAGCCCTTCACATGCTGACAAACTGGTGCCTCACTGCACTTGCGTGGAGAGCCAAGCCCTACACACGCCCCCGCACACACCCCTGGAAGTACGATGAAGTCATGGGTCCGATGAAATGAAAGAACACCGGGCCTCCACTGCCGCTGGGCTCCTCCTCCACTG